CTTTTGTATGCTTTATTCTGTAACAAGTTTGTACCGATGTAAGGTTTATATTCTAAAAGTATCTTTTGATTTTAATTAACAACAACAAAAACATTCCCTGACACTACTATTTGAAACTACTTTTCAAGCATAGAAATCTAACTTGGGATCTCAATGATCATGCCAGAGAAGGTAAGCGGGAAGAGAAAAATGTATTCCACGAAGGCTGCTGCAAATGACATCAGTGACTCACTCAGCATCCTCTCGTTATCGATTGCATGCTGACCACGGTGCTTTCCACATCATGGAAGATAATTCCATGCAGAAAACCAACGCAGCTCTCTCCCTGGACACAGACAGGGCCCGAGGAAGACAGATTTTCTTCTGTATAAATGTTTATAAAGCAGTCCGGGATACAAATCTACTTGAAGTATCTTTTTTTTTACATAAATAACTTCTCTCCAAGCCTCTTTTGGTAAGGTTACTTTTAAATGATGGTTGTAGAAAAATAAGATATAAATAAAAATGTTCACCTTTGAAAACAGAAACAGATATTTCAAGGAACATATTTTGCTGACAACTCGTATTACTAGATAACGTCACACAATCACACGTGAAGGTAAAGTGTTCATTAAAAACAAATGTCCTGTACAAAATTTACCCTAAACTTGAAAAATAATCTGACAACTGAAATGATATTTGGAATAGGATTTACAGCCTTCATCCTTAAAATAAGTCCTTTAACAAAGTCCAGCTCATATTTTTTCTAGCTCTGGGAGGCCATTGAGAATGTAACCATTGGGTGCATCCCAAAAGACTGAATTCTCTGTTTGACTGAGTCTCCTCAAAAAACCTAAATTAAATAAATAGACGGTATAATTAAACTAAAAACTCATTTTCAGAATTTAAGGAAAAGCACAAATCTCAACATAGCAGCTGGAACACAGGAAACCACATGTCAAAAACGCCAAGTGAAGGACCATGCTTGTACCTTTTGAATGCCTGCTTGCGACTCCAGAACATTGTTCTCTGATCCGTTGCTTCGATTGATCATCCGCCACATCTGGGAATACATGCTGTCCCTCTCGAAGGGATTCACCCCCTTGATTCGGACATGCTCATATACTGCCGAGTCCAAGACTGTGCCATACGGAATGTCGGTTTGCTTGGAAAGGTCCTGGAGAGACCTTGAGTATCGGTAGAGAAGAGAGACACAATGGAGGACTAAATTATTTCCTAATAGAAATAGAGATGAAAGCTGTCAAAATAATATAAATGAGAAAAGGTGAAAATTTGCTTTTCTTATTTTTCGTGTTAATCCAAAGCAACCAAATCGCTGCTATTGAGTCCACGCTGGCTCTCCGTGACCCTCTCCGTTGTGTTAGGTGAATGGCCCTCAAACAAAGGACACGGGGACATAATCAGGACGGAAATGAAGGTAAAACTGTCTTTTTTGACCTTCGTAGGGGTAAGGGTTGGGTTAGATTGGCGGTGAAGAAAACCAAAGCAATTCGATCAAACCAAAGACAAATTAAATTAGATTGCTAGGTATCATAACTTGGTTGTTTTATTTTATTTTTTCAATATGTTAGACATGTTAGGCTTATTTCCTTTAGGTGGGAAGGCTAAAATATTTTTATAAAATAATATGTTCTGTAAAGATCATATTTTGCACTCACCTGCTTATACATTTTTAAGAATTAGAATAAGTATTTATTTATAATGTTATTGATAGTTTTACATTTTTTGGTGTACATAAAATCCAGGATAGGTAAATCTATAGATACAGGAACTGGATTAATGGATTCTTGGGTTATGGCAGAAGAGGTGGGGCAGATATGGCAAGCTAATAACAGTGAGTACAAGAAAAAAGAAAATGTTCTAAAACTGACTGTGATGATGACTGTGTAACTCTCCTTAATATGACTGAATTGCATTATATGTGAACTAAATGAAAATAAAACTCATACAAAGAAAGACAATAACATTTAGAATAGCTGATCACAAGATTTTGTCTTATTGAATTTTATTTTAATGGCACATTTATGCCATTACATGTGTTATTAATTATGGTAGTTATTACTTACTGAATACTACATACATATCAGGCAATTGATAGACATTACCCTCATAGTAATGCCTGAAGTTCAGAATTATTTCAACTCATTTGAGAAATGAAGAGACTTACATGGAAGGAATTGGTCACTCCCTCATGTGACACAGCTGGTGAGGAATAAAACGAAGATTCCTGTGTTGTTATGTCCAGTCCCACAGTCTAACAGTTTTGCATATTCTTTTCACTGCCAGGTATTGGCTCATTCATTTTGCTATGTTTAGTTTACAAGTTTGTGCATTTGTGTGTGAGGCCATTTTATTTGTATTCAAATAGAATACATTTTATACTTCTGGAGAGCTGAGATGTTTTCGCTTTACTTTTTCTCAGGCATCTACTCTAGGGTTTCAGACAAGTCTCTTCGTGATGGGTGTTGTCTACGTGTCGGGGTTTTTAATCTCTAGATTATTGACCATTTTCCTTTGATAAGAGTTTCTGATCTATCTATATTTTTTTAACTTTCAGAAACAATGATCGTTCCATTGAAAATCCTTGAATTTGTATGTGTGATCAGAAAGGTAAGGATTCACATTTGTAAGCGTGTGCATTGGTATACTGTTCAAAATCACATGCTAGTGCACTTCAAAGACACTAGCTTGTGGAATGGGCACAGATACGATGAAATATTACACCACTTTTTTGAGCAACCATCAATGTCCACAACATTCTACTCCCATGAGCTGTGGATCTCCTCTCACAGCTACCTCCGACTTCCTGTTCTGTTTCTTGAGGAGCACGCTAGTGGTTTTGTGAGGTCTTTCCCAGCATCACCAGCAAAGCAAGGACATGAGCAACATTCTGTCAGGTTTCCAGGCCAATGCTCTGTGCAAATACATTCTGTAAACAATGCATTAGGGGCTATGTGTTAGAAGAGTCAATGCGACAACTTCTAATGGTAACTTCTAGTAGGAACTCACTCCAATTTTACTGAATTTTGTGTTGCTGATGTTTATCATGTCCTCCATGCAAATTCCCATTATCCCTCTTGGCTCTATATATCCACTGTATGAAATGATGCATTTAAAAAGTACTTTGAAAAGAAAATGTTACTAGAATGTTCTAAACGATTGTGCTAATGCCAACATCTATGAAACAGAATATAAATAACAAACTCTGATGGAAGTACACGTGAATAAGTGAGGGCAAAAGCAGAGTAGCAGGGCACTGGCTCCTGGGATACCCTGTAATTGCCCTAGGAATATAGCAGTGAGTGTTGTTTAGCACTCACGTGCTACTGTTGCCAGTTGTAGAAGAAAAGCTATAGTAATACGGTAACATTTTAACATATTTCCCAATGTTTAATGAAAGATCCTGTAACGTAGTAACATAGGCGATAAAAATGAAATGTATTTATTGCATTAGAATTTAAATGCTAAAGCACTTAGGAACACTAGAGAAAAATTGTGTCTTGGGTTGAGGTCTGGTCTCCTCTGTCTCTGCCAGTAGAGAGGAGAATCCAATTTCACACCAACCCAAAGTCAGTCGGCACAAGGCAGAGTTCAGATGTCTCCACCCTCCATGTTTCATTATTCTATTCTGACAGAAATCATTCCTCCCATGGCACTCTGTTGGATTAGATCATTTGTCACAATGGCCATGGAGAACTCACCGACAGTCACAATTATGAAGGGTTATTAAGGAAGCGAGGCAGCCCTTGTGGCATAGTGGGTTAGGGGTTGGGCTGATAAAAGCAATTCAGCAATTTGAAACCTGCCTCCTTGAAGCAGGAGAAAACGAAGCTTTCTACTCAAGATTTACAGTCTCCGAAACTCATAGGGCAGTTCTACATTGTCAAGTCTGACTGTTATGAGCAGTCTAATGAGAGTATTAGGGAAGCTTAAAGATTACTAAACGGTAAGGATGCTGTTCATTTGTTCTTAACCATGTGGTTCTTTGAGCGTTGCTTCTCTGATCCAGGATATCTGCCTACCATTCTGCCTCACACTTTCAGCAGTGCTTCTCTGCTCACTCTCATGGTCTCAGTGCTCTTCGACTCTGTCTCCTGGTCTCAGTGCCAGGACTCTGCTGCCTTCATCACTCCCGTCCAGGATCTCACACACTCAACTGGTGGTTCTTCTTTCTTGATGGTCATGGGATTTCTGTCGCTGCTGTTGAGATGGTTTTCTTATGCCCAGAGAAATGGCAAAACTGACAAGTCACCTCTATTAGTATGTCACACACCCTATTTGCATGAGTTTATTTGGTGGGTGGTACAAGACAGGATTAAAACAGCTATTCCAAATAATTTCCCTTCACCACAGACCTTCCTCCACTTTGAGTCTTGACCTCAGTTTAGCCCTTAGTTGAGAACTTTATGACTATTTGTGAGCAATCTGGCAAATTTGCCCTCAGACAGAGTATGCTTGATGGTAGATTACAACTTCTGGGCCAGCTCAAGAGCAAGGAAGTGGGGTACACTTGTACTCAGTGTTGCCCAGAGAATCAGGGAACATGCCTGAGTGTGCCCTTCCTGATTTACTGAAAACAGTCACTATGCTAACACCATGCTAGGTAGACAGGTGGGGTTCTGACAGGTATGATGCTCACACACATGCTCATGAGCCATACATAGGTAAAGATTTGATCTGCCACCAATCATGATTCTATAATTAACCCCATGAGTGCGAAAGCTTGAGGCAAAGAGGAAGGAACAGTAAGAAGTTAGATAATAGGGCTTAGTGATAGAAGCAAAGCTTTATTCAAACTCACCGTCATGGAGTCAATTCCAACTCACAGTAACTATGTAGAACAGAATAGGATTGCCTTGTGGTTTCCTGAGACTGGTAAATCTTTATGGGAGCAGAAAGCCTTGCCTTAATCCCAAGGAGTGTCATCAGGAGGTTTTGAACGGGTGGCCTTATAGTTAGCCACCCCACACGTGACCCACAATACCACCAGTGGTCAAAAACCCAGTTGGAGATCACATAATGAATATTTGAATAACCAAGGACTTCTTTATCACACCTATTTTGAGAAATGTAAATGGTGACTATATAGCTGGACCTCAATGGAGAGAATGTATAGGAACCAAATTGACAACATCCTTAGAAAAGTACAATGGAGAAGCTCAACATCATCAGTCAAAATAAGGTCAGTGGCTGACTATAGAACAGATCATCAATTACTCATATGCAAGTTCAGGTTTGTGGAAAGCAGAGAGATTTCTCCCAAGTTGTCTCCCCAAAATGTACCCCAAACTTAGCTGCTTGCTTCACATGGCAAATGACTATTCACTTGGAGGTCAGCAGAAGTAGGTCACGGGTTCTTCTCCCTAAGGGTTATCAGCCATCCAGAGCAAGCAGTCACCATTGTTTATCCCACAACAAGTAGGACCCACTCCCTTCTGATAAGGATAGTAGTTGACTGTTTCCTTGTAGGAGACTCCAGAGAGGTCAAGTCCACCCAAGGGTGGCCCAGGTTAGGCTGCCATCATGAATCTAGGTTCCGCCCATCTTGTCACATGTATACCTCTAGTCCCTCTTATTCCTATGTGCACACCCCTAGCTCATCCCCTTCCTGTCATGCTTATGCCTATCGTACATCCCCTTCCTATGATGTGTATGCCTATTGTACTGCCCCCTAAGTAGTTATAACCCTTGGTTAGCAATAAAGCTGGTCTCTCTTGCTCTCGCTCCTGCTCTCCCCACGAGGAGCACCAAGCGGGGCTGAGGTGAGCGCGCTACCATGAATTGTATCTGACTCCATGACTTCAATTTCTCTTCTATCTCTCATGCTCTCTATGACTTCACTGTAATCTGTACTTATCATCACTGTACAATTGTGCCTACCAGACCTGTGATGACTTGTTGGGGCCACTCTCTTCACCCACACAGGTTGAGGTTTGAAGAAAATTAAAACAAATCCACTCGAGCCAAAAGACAGCCTTGATTATATCTCACCTGAATCCAGACACAATGAACATTATTGTCTAGACACCCTGAACACTATTGACTGCAGAACAGATAAGTTGTGGGAAGACATCAGGAATACATGAAGAAAGCAAAAAGTTATTGAAAGGAAGGAAACAAAGAAAAGACCAAAGTGGATGTCTGAAGAGACTTTGAAACTTGTTCT